AGAGTTCACGTGAGGCTGAGGTTCTTCAGAAGAATGCCAAGCAAAGCTGAGCCTGAGCACCTGTGTTTCAGTGGCCCTTTGTTGCCCAGCAGCCTGCAGTGCTGCTGCTCGCTGCTGGGGTGCTTGGCCAGCTCTGTGTCTGTAAGAGATTTTGTCATTGTGTTGGCTCTTACAGATCAGTTACAGCAAAGACTGAACTTCTCAGGAGCCGGGTTCTGCTTTTGAGGGCACTTGTGGAAGTTTATTTTGAGCTGTTGCTGTTACACAGTGCCAAATTTGGTTTTCTTTGCATGCTATATTCTGAATAGGGTTCAACATGCTTGCTCCTTAGTGTGGATAGCTCCACTGAACTGCTTTATTTCATGAAGGGAGCCATTTATGAGGCCTGTTGTTGGAGAGGTGTTGTTCAGCAGCTCCATTCCCACCTCATGCGGATCTCTGTGGCTTTGGGAAGCTGTTGAAGTCTCCCCCTTGGGGTGAAATGGAGGTGGCAATTCTTTGCTTCAGCAGCAGGAAGTTTTGTGGTGTTTGCAGAGAAATTTAATGATTTTTTCAGCTGGGAAACACTATAGAAAGAACACTGCTTTATTACTGGCTTCAAGCTGTCCTGTTCCATCCTTCCCCTTAGATCTCTGCCTGCTGCTTGGCGCGTATGCCATGCCTCAGAAGCAGTAACCCATCTCACAGCACTGAAGAGAAAGTGATGTTATGTTAAAGAACGTATCAGACATAACCCTGAGCATCCAGCAGTCTTTTCTTGAGCCCCGAGTTCGGGGTCTGTGTCCTGCATTTGGGCCTTGGGCAGCCGAGAAGTGCGGTTGTCGCTTCTGCTTTCATCACCGGTGTCTTAAAGCTGCACGCAGGGATGGAATCACGCAACGCCCGCTGTAATCACAGTTCATTTTTCTGCCATGGCTTTGCATTATGTAAGCTGGTAATAGGCTTTTTAATATGCAGAGGAAGTGCTTTAACCAAAGAGCTATTATTAAACATCTTTGCTAAATATATTTTAGGATTTCAGAGCATGAATGCCACTCTGTTGTCATTTGAAAAGTTCACATCCTTGCGTAGAGACAGAAACTGTTAGAGTGCAAATAAATATTGAGATAATGGATATTTTATGTGAATTGGGATTTTTAGCAAAAGAACATATATTCTTATTTTCAATATTTTAATTGCAAAAAAAAAAAATAATCAGGTGGCTGTTAGACGTGCTGTAAGTTTTTCAGATGCAGTTGCTTAAATATACTTTTATCTAAGATTTTCAGCTGTATAAAATAGCGTTATTCTAACTGATGTTAGGTAGAAAATGTGGGGAATTTATAAGTTTGTAGTTGAAGTATTCATGGAAAAATAAAGCAGATTGTGCAGATGTCAGAGAATCCATATGCTCAATTTTCCATTAAAATTGATGGGAAGCAGCTATCCAAACCCTCCACTAGCTTTACAAATAAAAATAGCTATTTTGGAACATCCCTATTTTAATGGAAGTTTGAGTTTCAGTAAAACTGGGCTGTATTGCGTCCTGAAAGAAATGGCAGAGCCTTTCCCTGCTCCCAGTGAAGGGCAGTGGACAGAGAACACCACAGCAATGTTTATGTTGAATGCATCTCAGAAATTGCTTGATGGCACTTTTTCTTCCAGAACTAATTAGAGCCTCCTGGGTTCTCATCTGTCAATCTTCCTGCAGGTGAGATCCTTGCAGCTGCGGCTGAGTGGGGCAGCACAAAGGCAGCCCTGAGTGCCCTGGAGCCAGAGGATGCTCTTTGTGCTGTAGGTGGCTCTGACCCTTATGGTCCAATGGGTTGAACATTGCTCTTTCAAGATGAGGAAACAAGAAGACTTACTGTATTGTATTCCAATTCAGATCATACACACGTGGTCAGCAGGGGTGTGCAAGGAGCTGGTTGGGTGCATGGTGCCCAGGTTTGTCTTGCAGTGAATTGTGAGCACGCACTGGTCAGCAGGAACTGCCTGTCCTCAGCTTGCTTACAGGGAGATTCCTCTGATAGAGGAGAGGCAGAAACAGCGAGCTGCAAAAATTTAAAAAATTCCAAACAACAGAGAGAATCATCGCATTTGTTGGTAATGAGAGAAGCAATCTGGCAAGTTCTATGCAGGTTCCACAGAAAAACACTCAGCTTCCAGAGAAACTATTTTCTGTGTAGGCCCTTGCTAGCTGCTTGCCGTGTCAGTCTCAAAACAGAACCTCAGGAGATGGGAGATACCAGCTCAGCTGCCAGTAGGTTTTGTTCATGTAGGAAAAGAGTTGACAGCAATGTGTTTTACTGGATCAGTATGTGAGGTTTTCATATTTCTAGAAGAATGCTGCACAAACCCTGCAGTTCCTCAATTGCTTTGCAGTTAGAAAATGCATGTGCAAAATATTTTGTATATGTGCCATCAAGCCAGAGGCTTGGGGAGTTTGTCCCAGAGATCTGGTTGCTCTGCATGAAAAGCAGGAGGAAAAGCAGCCCACGCTGCCTTCATCTCAGTTTGTCCTCCCACTGTGTTCCCTTGCTGCATTGCTCGGATTTTCACTGCTGTGCCTCTCAGCTCCGGGTGTCTGCTGGAGTTGTATTGTAGCAGAGCTGAGCACACATTAGATGCCCCACTGATGTACCAGCAGCCACCCATGTCTTGAGTACCTGCACAATTTGTTTTCCAGTCTTCAAAACTAAAGATTTTCTGACTGATGTTCATAGAATCACAGAATGGTTGGGTTGGAAGGGACCAAAAACTCCAACCCCACTGCCACATGTAAGGCCACCAACCTCCATATCTAATACTGGACCAGGCTGCCCATCCAACCTGGCCTTGAACACCTCCAGGGATGGGGAATCCACATCCTCTCTGGGCAGCCTGTTCCAGCACCTCATCACTTCGTAGTAAAGAACTCCATCCTTTTTCTCTGCACTGCATCAACACAAAACCACTCCAAGCATTTCCTCATTGTCTGATCTGACAATACCTCATGCAACAGACAAAGCTGTAATAACTTCACTTAACTCTGGGTTACTGTCTTTAAGAGAAAATAACATCTGTAGAGACAAGTCCTTGTGTTCCTTTGTGCTTTTTGGAAGGTCACAGATCTTTGGAGTAGGGGAACCCCATTATGTTGTTTGACATGAAAACAGATCGAAGTGGGAATGGATGCTTGAGCAATGAGCTTTTTGTACTGAGGAATATCTGGCTGTGCATTTGCTTCATAAAGCATGCAGCAGTGTCTGGGGGTCCTGAGTCAAGGCCTAGCAACGAGTCCATCTCTTCACTCCAAATGGTAATGCAACACCAGTTACACCAGTTGAAACTTGCTTTTCTCAAAACTGACTGTTTTACTAAACAGTGAAATTCAGAATACAGACAGGGGAGATGTATATTTCGCTAAGAGCGTATGTCCCTAAAGCAGCGTTAGAAATCCAATTGTGAAGAACCTCACTCACAAACTCCTGTCATGCTCCTTCTGGCCAGGAGTGCAGCTCAGTATCACGCAGAGATTGTTTCCTCATGGTTTCACACATTGTTTTCTAATAAGGTAGATTGCAGCCTGCTGTTACAGAACAAAATGACTCCATACCAGGAAGGTGGGTGGACTTTCCTAGTAGATCTTTTTTGTTTCACTACCAAAAGCGTGTGGGGCTTTTTGTAAGCCCAACATGTCACTTCAGTCCCTTCACCCTGGGCATTTATTTTGGTTGGTGCTGGTTTTCCTCCCAAATAAATGCATCTCTGCATGCCTTTGGCACACATAGGGAACAAACTGGGAGCCCTTCATGCATGGTACATGATAGAGCATTGTCTTGAGGAAAAAATGTCATCCAAGGTTTAAAATAAGCTGTAGATTTCAGATCTCAGCTTTATGTTTGCTGCTAAGAAAGTACTTTATATAGTCTCAAAAGCTGCATTTCCAAATAGAAGCAATTAGTAGCTGTTAATGAATAGCACTAAGCTGACAACCTGTAGAGATTATAAAAGTAGAAAACTAATTATGTAAGCTGTATTATTTTGGAAATACATTCATGTCTAAAATAAGTTCTAAAAAAATACTTTTGTAGGGAGTGAGTGCTATTACTGTCGTATCTTTCAGCTTCTTCAAATTCTGTGTTCTAAGTTCCTGTTTGCTGCTAAGCCAGCAATTGGAGATTTTTGTTTTAATTTGATGCATCTTTCAACACCAACTCATAAACCAACATTAGAAACTGTTTGCTGAGCCACTCTGCAGTCATTCATCGTAAAGTGCAAAGAAAAGGCAGTTGAAGTTTCCTTTAGATCAAAAGCACCCTCTGGTTCTTCATCCACAGCACCATTGTGTTCTGTGTCCTTTTGAAAGCTCCAGTCACTTCACTGCAGTTGCACGTTAGTGTTGGTTTTTGTAACAGCAATATATGTACTCAAAAATAGCTGATATTCCTCAGCATCAGATCTGTAATAGCAAACTCATGTCTACTTTTTGTATTGCACTGGTTTTGTTCTGTTGCATGTGATGAAAGATACTTGAGCTCCCTGGTGGGCTGGCAGCAGATGCTCCTCATCTGGAGACGTTTGCATTTTCTTTTCTTCCCTGAAGCACTAACTTTCACAAGAATAACCTTTTGAATAGTGTGTAGTTGCTTCATCCAGTGCAGTCGTGTGATGCGTTTACTTAGGTAGTATGTTCAAAATGTCAAGGATACATGTATTGCTTTGTGCAGGATTCATGCGTATGGAATAAATATTGCTGGGTCAGGAAGACTGATGGGTTTGGGTTTGGGCTGTTCTCTGCTGCTGATCGTGATTGGTACTGCTGCCCACAGAACCCTGTGAAGAGTTAATTGGCCCTGTTTTGTCCTGGCATACATTCCATGTGGAGCATCCCTCTGGTCGTGGGTCTGGCTGTGGGATGTGGGCACATCCAGGCTCTGGGGAGCACTGTGTGAGCTGGGGCTCTGTCCTGTGCCATCTCAGATAACTATAATGGATTACAGAAAGTGAGAGTTCTTTATTTCTCTTGTGCTTTCCAGAGGACATGAGTTTTGGGTGGATTTGAATGTTATGAAATTATACGAAACTGTTGAGTTTGACCAAATGCGGAGGTTGTCCACACCATCCTGTCCCAGCTCCAGCTCCAACTACTACACGGTCTGGAAGTACTTCTGCAGGGACCATTTCGTCTGGAGAGAATATTCTGAGGTATTTAACATCTTCCAGAATCCTGCTCTTGGTTTGTAGCACAGACTTATCTGTGCAGTATGTGCTGTAAGCAACATGCCCATTTTCAGTCTGTTTTCTCTTTGAACGATTTGAAAAACTACCATTATCCTTTGGTCTTTAGTGGACATAGTTTTCTGCATCAGATTTTAAATAAGCCTTCTGTCTTCCAGCCCTTTAACCTCTATTATGGACACATAAGCAACATCCATGATTGTGTGAGACAAAACCAAACCAAAACAAAATTTCTATTTGCTCTCCACTAAGCCTTTTAGATACCTGTCGTAGTTAAGGGCTCATCTGTGGCTGACCAGAGCTGTACATAATATTTTGAATAAAATTTCATCAGTGTCTTAAAATTTTGGCAGTGCTAGAAAGACCTCCACCAATATAAAATGCATCATTTTTCATGCATCGTGCTGACTTTATAGAATGCTAGGAAACTTAGAGCAGAGCACTGCACACAGCCTTTGCAAATAGAATCATGCAAGAGCTGGAGAGAGTCCAGAAGAAACGCTTTTCAGTGGTTCACGTGCTTCAGAGCAAGGGAAAGAGAGGGGAGGAGAAGGGATTGGATAGAGGGACTTCTTGCTGTGCCTGGAAGAAATACTCACTTTGAACACATAATTTATCATGTGTATGTTTTCTATTTTCTTGAAACAGCCTGTTGTACGGCTGATAGAAGAAGCCAGCTGCCGAGGTCTGAAGGAGGTCCGCTTTGTTACCTGGCATAACCAGTATATCTTAAACATCAAAGATGGGTTCCAGCAGAACGCGTGTTTCAGAAGAGAAATCAAGAGAAGACCGCTTCTCCGCTCCTGCGTTGTGCTGATGCCGTTCTTACAGTACGTATCCCAGCAGAATGGAAACTGTGTTTGTTTTTCGTGGTGGTCTGTCCATCTGAATTGCGTTCATTAGGATGTGACAAGGAAACGGGTATCATTTTGTAGAAAAATGCTTGGCCACATTGGCAACTACTCACTTAATACTTCTCAAAGCAATTGTTATCTGAGGAACTCCTTACTGCTGGTCTCTGTTATTTAAAGACTCTAATATACCTTTTGAATCTTAGACATCAGAAGCCCAGATGTACTTTATGCTTGCCAAACTGTTGTCCAGCTTGCAGCCTTTCACCTACTCTGGTGACTGCCAGGCCATCACTTCTAGGTCCCATAAAAATGAGTGTTCAAAAACATTCTATAATTTTCAAGCACAATTAAAGCATTCCTTGTTTTTATTGTCATCTCAAGGGGGGGGTGAACATGTTTACCATCAAAGGCAGTGAGGAAAGTGTTGCATTGTAGTCATTTTTGATTACAATTCATAAAAATGCCATTTTTGTGATCTCACCAGCACAGCTGGAAACATTATTGTCGGAGTTCAGTAGTTAGGAACATATTGTCCTGTTAGTGAAGGGGTGGAAGTCATTAGTCTGACTGGAAGCTTGGCATGCTGGGCCAATCAAAGGAGATTTAACTGCTGCATTAGGACTAGAATGCTCGTTAGCTTGCTGGGTTGTTAGAGCATCTAATTGCGAGGTGAAAGTGAATTTGGTCAGAGCCTGAAAACAAGTGGCTGTTAGATACATTTTTAGATGTGGTTTTTGGAAAACCAAAAATAATTGAAGAGATACTTGGAGGATGCAAATGAAGTGAGCAAACATGGACTTTCTGGCTACAGCAGTTATGGTTCTGATCTTAATGAAGAATAAGGATGTAAGTTATTTCCCTGATACTTTAGTAACAGTGATGATTTTATTACAGTTTAAGTCTATGGTTTTGAGAGATGCTAAAATTATGCAATTCCCAATAAATTTAGTGGGCCATTGAGGGTTTTACACTCATGAGGGTTTGACCATAACTACCAAATCTAAACCACAGCACTGAAATTTATGTTGTTCTGCCACAAACCTCATTCTTTTTACTTTTTATCCAAAGTCCTCGTAATTCTGACTTAAAAATCCAGCAACTGTCAATAGAGACCAGAAGAGTGTTTTGAATATGAACAGGAGATGTCTTTAAAAAGCCAATGTTTGCCTCCTCGTATCACACAGTGCTTCCCACCTGCGGGGTTTCCCAGCTGCTTGTGGCAGTTATAAGATTTTGAAAGAGTGCTGGAATAGAAACAGTGGTGATTGTGTGACAGTAGTTAACAAATGCTGTCTTTTTACTGCTTTCCCTTGTATAATATATGCTTACACATAAGTTATATTACTCAGAATAGACGAACAAAGTACACCAAAGGATGCAGGGTTTTTATTGTGCTTGCTGACTTACTCATTAATCCACAACTTGCTGTTTATTTTGCACTTGCTCCTTCAGCCCGAGTGTGAGTGAGGTTCTCAGTTGACTTTAGGATGAAAAGAACTAACTAAATAAAACCACAGTGGAATATTGTAGACTGCTGTTTTAATAATTGCTCTTAGAAAAAGCCGTCTTCTGGGTCTCTTTAAGCTGTTAATAAACAGTAAGAAGTTTGAGTTCAATCAAATCCATGCAAATGAGCTGAAATCTCTGTTCAGTTTTGAGCAGCCAGTGGAAGCCACATGAGCAGTTTTGTAGACTATTTCTGCTTTGAGTAGTGTGAATGGTATTACAGCTAATTGTCTCTGGTTCTGAAATCAAGTGTATCTATTTGAAAATAGACACACACACCACTGTTCCTGTAGACCTGAAGAGCTGATAGGCAATCAGAAATTTACATGGAATTACTTCTGTGTCACACAAAAACTCACATGAGGTTCTTTCAGGCTCACGTATCAGAGATACAATATTCTGAAAGGTGACCTTAATTGGCATTTCTGTAGCTAAGATGTAAATAGCAGTAAATTGTTATTTATCTAGATAATTATGTTTGCTCTGCAGAGAAAGCAGGCTAACAAGCATTGGCAATCAGAGGTTGCTCTGTTTTTGGTATACCTTGGGAACAAATGGGCTTTTCAGCCAGAATTGCACTTGAACAGAAGATGACTGGTTCTTAAAGATTCACTCTGTGGAAATAACTTTGCCTTTAGCAGAGCTGTGAGAGTTTGCTCCCCAGTAAACTTCCTTTTACAAAGAGAGGGCAGGGAGTCTTGTCTGCCTGTTCCTGTGCACTAAATGCAATTGCATATACTCAGGGAGGCAGGATTTGGCCTTGGGTATTGTCAAACCTCTGTTTGCCCAAGCTGAATGCACAAAATTCCCTCCCTCTTGCCCCCTAGGCAGAACAAATCTTCTTACGTTTTGGCCATGATGTTTTATGAGAAAACAAGTGACCTGAGAAATCTCATGAGCACAGTTAAGATGAGCTGTGCTGTTTGGAGACAGGGCTCACCCTGTGTCTCTTGAGTCAGACAGCAGAAACCTCCTGCCACTTTCGTAATCTTTCCTAACAAGAGGTGGCTGCTTCTCACTGCTCTTCACCTGTTTGTGAACATCACTTCTGGTTGATCCTGGAGTCGGTAGCAACCTTTTCTGTGAGAACACTTGAGCAATGTATTCATCTGCTTAAGTCTGAGAGAGTTCAGTGTATTCCTGCAACTTAAAGGCAACCTCACCAGCCTCATGAGCTGAAGATATATATGCTTACAGATAGAAAACCAGAGCCTGAACCTGCAAGCTTTACATATTCAAAGTATTTGCATTGACGTAAGTGGGAGAACTCCAATAAGTAAGGATTATACAGCTGAGCAAAGCTTGTATGTTCAGATTATAATCAGGTGAATATAAGCCACAACAGCCATACTCTTTATCTAAATTTAGCAGGTTCAAAAGCATGAACAATTCCACAGCAGTGAGGGTATTAAGAATGCAGTCTTGCCTGTACCACAACTTGTATCCATGTCAACTTGATTTTGCCAAGGTGTGGCCCTTTTCTGGTGCACATGGTGCTTTTCTGCCATAAGCAATAGAGGCAGTGGTTGCCTTCCTTCTGCCATTGCTGACCTCTTACCTGGCAGCACACCCAAAAGGAGAGGCTGCTCTCACACATGGGAATAAGGAACTGCAAATGCAAATCAACATCTGGCCTGTGCAAATGAAAACAGTACAATCCTGGGTAGCACTGCAAACATAATCCCTTCTTCTAGATAATGTAGTGAAATATATGCAACTTTTGCCTGTAAATATTATTAATCATGGATATTCATTATACTGTGCAAGAAAGTGCTTCTGCTCCTTTTGTTGTAGTCTAGGGAAATTAGATCAAATATTGCCAAATTATTCTTCTCTTCTGATTCCATATGTCTTACTCTATATGTTAAAATAAGTAATAGTTTACGACCACTTATAAAATGTTTGTGTTTGATAGCATTCTGCCCCTTATGTAGTTTATAACCACCCCTCCACCCTAGAATCTGAACAGTAAAGATTATAATAGGCTTTTAAATCACCACCAGCTGGTAAGATTTTCCCAAGTGGAACTGCATGCTGGAAACTCAAGATTTTATTATTAGTTTGGATGGATGCAAGAGTTATTAAAACAGAAGAAATAGCTGACATAATTGCTTTAAATGAGCATTACAGTTATGTAAATGGTTACAGAATCAAAGAGCAGTGATTGTTAAGAAACATTGGTGACCAAATAACTGTGATGAGAAGCTGTTCAGTTGCAAATTTGTTCTTCTTCCCAAACTAGGACTCTAGGTGGCAATTCTCCAGTACCCTCTCCATCAGCCGAATCACTTTCCTCACATGTCTTATCTCCAACTGCTGTTACTTCTCCAAACTTCTATCCTGAAACCTGGATTAGTATGGATCCATCTCAGGACTTCATCCAAGTGCCTGTTTTGAAAGAAGATAAAAGCTATAGAACCATTTATAACCTGTTTCACAAGACTGTGCCAGAGACCAAATATAAAATTTTGAAAATTCTGAGAGTGCAAAATCAGTTTCTTTGGGAGAAATATAAAAGGTAAGATCATGCAAATACCGTGTTCTTCTCTCTCCTCTTACACCTAATGTTCTGGAGCATAATGCCGATGCCCTTTGCTTAAAGAGCTGTAGTGAAAACTGCTCTTCGCTTGCAGATCTACAGTGAATTCTCATCTTCAGTTTCCATTTTCTATTCCAGGAAAAAGGAATATATGTCCAAGAAAATGACTGGGCTTGATAGGATAATGAACGAAAGGCATTTGTTCCACGGCACCTCCCAGGATGTGGTGGATGGTATCTGCAAGCACAACTTCGACCCGCGCGTCTGCGGGAAGCATGCCACCATGTTTGGACAGGGCAGTTACTTTGCCAGAAAGGCAAGCTATTCTCACAATTTTTCCAAAAGGTCACCCAAAGGAGTTCATTACATGTTCCTGGCTAAAGTACTGACGGGGAGATACACTGTGGGCAATCACACCATGAGGAGACCTCCGCCTGTCAACCCGGGCAGCATTACCAGTGACCTCTATGACTCTTGTGTGGACAATTACTTTGAGCCTCAGATTTTTGTCATTTTTAATGATGATCAGAGCTACCCTTATTTTATTATCCAGTATGAAGAAGTTAGCAACACTGTCTCCATTTGAAAACTTGTGCTGCTAAATTATTCATTTTAATAAACTCTTATTGACATTTGTAGCAGTTTTTGTGAGGGAAAAAAAAAACCAACATTACAGAACTGAATAAAATTATTTGTTTGCAAGGAGGTGAATCTAAAAATGTAGAAGGAAGATCTGAAGTGACCAACTGTGCACTTGCTGTTTGATTATGTATGTGCAAACTGTAAATATTTTTCCATTGTTTATAGTTGAAAATCTGTGCCTTTTGTTATAAAACACTGTTTATTTATGTTAGTAAATATTCATGTTTAAAATTGTGTTTGTGTGCATAATTTCAATTGTGTTTTGTGCATATTGCAGTGTCTAGAAAATTGTGCCCTGATCTTGAAGTTTTATGTATGGGCATTTCTAGATGGAGTGTAGGACCTTCCAGATCACAAAGTCCAACCTGGCCCACCAAGTGCCAGCACTGAGCCGTGTTCCTCAGTGCCATGGCCACACATCCCTCTAGCACTGCCAGTTATGAGGACCCCAGCAGTGCCCTGGGCAGCCTGTTTCAGTGCTCAGCCACCTCTCTGTAAAGAAATTCTTCCTAACGTTCAATGTAAACCTTCTCTGGTGTGTCTTGAGGCTGTTTCCTTGCACCCTAGATAATCCAAACTAGATAATTTTCATCCCGGGTCTACTACATGAGAGATGCTCATATCCACTCTTTTTACTGCTTTATTTCAAGAGGAGTGGGAGACATTACCAAACTAACATGTTGCTTGTAGTTTGGATTACTAAACAAATTCCTACTGCTGTCGGATGTCCCGAGCTGAAGGAGGGCAGCTCTGCAGAATGGATTTATTGGAAAAGAAACCTCAAAAAAATCCTCTCTTTGATGAGGCTTCAAATTTGGTCAAGAATGAAAGTTCTTGCTAAGGTTACTTTTACAGTTAATTAAGCTGATACTAAATGAGTTAAAAAATTATATATTAAAGTAATTGTCAATGCATAATACTCACTTAATCAGGGCCTTTGTTGTGTTTTCTAGGCATCTCTGCTTGGCTTGGTATGCCTCAATATCTTTAGCTGTGATATGGACAAGAAGTAGAAAGTAGTGACTGCTGGTTGCAAGTGGCCCCAGCCAGGAGGAGTGGAGAGGACAGGTCAGTGGTTCAGAGCCCTACTCAGTGCCCAGGAGGACAAGCTCTTTTCTCAGTGCCACCTGTCTTAACCCTGCTCATATCTGCAGCAGTCAAACCACCTGTAGGTGAAGGAGGGGCAGAGCTCAGGCAGCTGGTTCCAGTTAGCTTCCCATCTCTGCTCTTAGCAGTGTAGGAGGTGTTTGTTTGCCTTGGGGAAGGAGGGTTGTGTTGGTGTGATGGGTCTCCTGGAGAGAAGGCATCGGGAAGGTAAGGTGGGTTGTGGGGCACAGAGTTGGGGTTGATGATATAGCCTAGGTTGTTGGCTTTTAAAAGCTACTCAGTCTTCTGTCTTGCATCTTTCTGATGACCATCAGGATTTCCTAGCTAAAGAGCGGTTTGGTGTTCTCTGTAAGGAGAATTGGGAGAGCATGGGCCTGATTCAGGCCTTGCAAATGGGAGTGCCCTTGCTGGCTTGGGACTAGGGGACTGCTGCAGTTCTCCCTCTGTGCATTCGTGTGTGACTATATATATATGTATGTATACATGTAAAAATGCCATACACAAATACAAGTGACTTGAAATGCCTGCTGGTGAGCACAGGTGGAGTATCAAAATGCTCGTTACTGCATTTCCCACCCTGCTCACTTCCCCTTGCTGTTGTTATGACCTGAGCTTTGCCTGTACCAGCACTGAGATTGCTGGGCAGGATTTGTCCCCTTCGTGGCCATTCTGCACAATGCTGGACTGTGGCTGCTGCGTTGGTTCTGTTTTTTCCATAGCATAAGCAAGTGATTGCATTTTCTGGTGCTGCTTTCGGTGGTGTCACATGCTGAGAAATCTGGGATTATGTACCCCAGCTCCTGGGGCAATCATTCACAATACACTGCAATCATTTTCTATAGTTTCCAGCCTTAAGTGGAAATCTGAGGTTCTCACTTGGCATTGAGAACCGGGAGCTTGGCTGGAGAACACCTCTTCCACTGGGGCTTCTCTGCCAGCAGCAGTCAGCAGTATCACCTCCATGCTAATGCAGCAAACAAAAAACCCTCTCAATTCTCCAATGGCTGTGAAGCGTGCTGTTATGAGAACGTTTTCCTATCCACTGTCAGATTGCAATGTCAGATTGACCTAAGGATTGTTCTTTCCTACATGGATGCTGGGCTCCTTTTTTCCCCTGGTGGAGGGGTACAAGCTGTTTCAAACATGCTTATATGATTATAAATCATCATCTGCTTTTCTCCCCTTCCACAAGGAATGAGTTCTTGTGTATTGATACATGCTTGGTTTTGTTTTGTCTTGCTGTGGGATTTGGTGCAATCTTCTCACCTCAGACTCTTCCCGGTGCAGAAGGGTTTCCCAGACTTTGCCAGGAGTGAAGCTGTGCCTCCTCCAGAAGCAGAGGTTGTCCCACAGTGGGTGGCTGGGGCTTGCAGCAGCCCCCAGAAGGACACGGTCCATGTTGCAGGATGCAGAGGAGGCTGCCCCTGGCCTTGGTCTGGAGGACTCAAGGGCCTGCCGTGCTGTGAGGCTGAGTCCCAGACCAGCTGCGTAGTGGAACTTCTCCTTATGCACCCAGCAGTGCCCATCCAGGAATTTCCCCTCCCTTCTCACTTCTAGATGCTGGAGGGGAAGAGGCTGCCCTGTGTGGGCGCACATACATGCCCTTGGAATGGCCCAGCCTGGCTGAGTGCATCCTACTGGATGGAAGCAAGACGCTTTGGAATCATAGAATCACAGAATCACTAAGATTGGAAAAGACCTCCAAGATCTCCAAGTCCAACCCCGGCCCACACCCACCATGCCTTCTAACCCTCAGTGCCACATCTCCACGGAATGTCTCCAGAGATGGTGACCCCACTGCTCCATGGGCAGCCCGTTCCAATGCCTCACTGCTCTTCTAGAGGAAAAATGTGTCCTAATAACCAACCTAAACCTCCCCAGTGCACCGTGAGTCCATCACCTCTTGTCCTACTGCTGTTACTTGGGAGCAGAGGCCAACCCCCGCCTCGCTGTGACCTTTGCTACCAGCATCCTGCCCTGCAGGCCCCAGGAGGACTGATGACCCCTCTGTGACTGCCATGCAGGTGGCACCGCTGGTGTTTGGTGATGGAATTGGGGCTGGACCATGCTTGGTTTCCCACACTGGCACACAGAACCCCCTGGGCACCACAGGTGATGTGTCTTCATGTGTCCCTATGCCCCGCTGGCATGCAGCCTGTACTCCATGACTCAGCCAGGCCCTGTTGCTATTAGGGATGCATCCCCTCTGCACTGTGTGCAGCTGGCTGTGCTGGTCCAGCAGGTGCAGCTGGGCTGCCTCTGCTCCCTGGGGCTGAATCACACCCACGGCTATCACAGGGCAGCTGAGGTGAGTCCTTCAGCCCAGCACCAGCAACGATTGATGGGTATGGGTGGGATCTTCTGAGCCTCCTCCAGGCTGAGCAGCTCCAGCTCTCAGCTCTTCTCACAGCAGCAATGCTCTGGGCCCTGCAGCATCTAGATTGGTTTATGTTCTACTTGCTGCCCAGCAGGACCCCACAGATGTCCCCACTGCCAGGACTGCTCTTTGCACTTCTCATTGAGCCACACTGTGCAGACCAAGAAGAACAGCAGCACTGTCCCAGCAAGGGTCCAACGAGACATCTTCCTCCTTCGTGGGCTGCCTTTTTGTTTTCTCCCTCAGCTTGTGAAACACAAGGAAGAAGGAAGTTCAGAGCCAGTGTTGGGTGGTGAGCCACCAAGTTCCCAATGTGGTTGCTACATGTCATTTCACCAAGGCCCCCTTTTAGGGGTGGGATCATAAAACCATACGGTTCTATGGTTTGGGTTGGAAGAGACTTTTAAGGCCATTCCATTCCAAGGGCAGATGCCCCATGGAACATCTAGCTGGGAAGCAAAGGACATGCACGGCCCTTCCATCTCTTGTGCATGCAAAGCCGGCCAGGACCAATGGATTGAAGGGGACGTGGGGCTGCTGGCAGCGCTGGTGAGGTGGGGATGAAGGGCAAAAAGAAATGAGGAAGTGATTTAAGAAAAGTGAGAACTGGTTTCTTGTGAGGAGGAGGAAGGGAGAGCGAAAGGAGCAGGAACAGAAATAGGGAAGGGAGGATATGGAGAGCTCAAGGAAATGTCCATTGGAAATATGCTAGGGTAGAAACACAAGCAGAAAATGAGAGCAGGAGAGAAGAAGCTTCAGGAAATGGGAAGGAAGGGTGCCAGTGACTGCAAACCAATGGCCAGAAAACAATGAGCATGCAGTAAGTACAGAAACCCAGCCCTAGGGGCAGCTGCTGTGTTCCATCGTGAGTGGGAGGCTGCAAAACCAGGGGATGCTTTCTTGTACCAAGAGGCTTTATTGCGCTCAGCTCCTCTGTGCTCTACATTGCTTCTTCAGCTATCTGCACACAGTGGAAGGAGGGAACTCTGTACAATTCTGAAACCAAAGGCTGCTGATATTCTCAGGTATCTTCATCCCCATTTCTTTGGGAGGAGGCCTTGTGCAAGAGGAAGTGGAAACCATGGTTCCACTGCCTGGAGTGGCTCCTGCTGATATTTTTCCATAGAGTGAAACTGGAAATGACTTTTTAGGAATGCACACGGTAATTTATCAGAGTATGACTGCTCCACACAATGCCTCACCATGCCCAGCAGCACCTTTGCTATGCAGCAACATGAGCACGTTGCTTGGGGTGAGCTGGCAGCTCGGGGGCTGGGTCAGATCCTGCTGTATAGGGCTGGAGGGTGCCAGTGGTGCCCTGCAGGATGTGGGAGGTTCTGTGGGGCTGTGGCTGTGCTCATGCTGTCCACGACACACTGCGTGCTCATCCCCAACAGTCCCTGCTGAACACCTGGGGCACGACCATGGCAGGGTGTTATCAAACAGCTGTGACACAGCTCCCACACTGAGATGCACACACATAAGGTAGGTGTGCTGCCCATCCCCTTAAATTACAGCCTACACATCTACAATTTGGGGGATGTGCCCTAGTGCACGAGCAAGAGGGCAGCAAGACCTGCCTGAGAGCTGTGTGCTGCCAGCTGGGTCTTGCTGTGCCCTGCCCACTCTGCATGCTTCTCCTGCTCTTCCATATTCCTGAAAGTTGCCATTTTTTCCACAGATTTCCTCCCCCAGGAGGCAGTGCTGGCAGCCTGGCTCCGTCTGCTTCCTGCAGAACCCCACAGACCCCCTCTGCACTGT